ATGGACTTAAGTTTTCAAATAACTATACGAGAGTTCCATACTGTAAGTCTATGTTTAAATTTACAAGAAACTGCAAGCTGATTTCTGTTACTGTTTTTTTTTTTTCTTTTTTTAACTTTGTATAGTTATTTGGGTGCAGTTTTACAAAGCAGATTTCATTTTACATTCAACTGTTACTCTGTTTTTATGTCTAGCATTTTCATTCAATTGTTTCTTATAATTTACATTTCTTCTCAAATTACTTATCTGATCTTGCATAATGTTTATCTTTTCCATTAGAGCCTTTAGTCTATTTATCTTCTATTTTAACTATGTTTGATAGCTCCAGCATCTGTAGTTCAATGGTGTCCAAGACTCGGGCTCCTTCTATATTTTTGCTCCTTCTTCCTTAGACTGTTTACCTCTCCCCATCATCATCACAGCCACCAGAAACAGAAAATATTCAGGAGGAAAACCTGCCCTCTTCTTTTAAGCATGTTATTGTGGAAGTTGCACACACCATTGCTACTTACATCCCACTGACCAAAGCTTGGTTACATGGCCAACCCAGATGAAAGGCAACCTGGGAAATGTAGTTCATTACTATGGCAGAAGGGGAAACAGATACTGGGGGTGCAAAAATGGTGTGGGGATGGGGCAGTGTGATGTCCTTTAACTTCACAAAGGGGAGAGAGAATGAAGATCAACATCAATAGTCCAAGGCTGATTCCTATAAGTGGAGGTCAGACATGCTGCTACCCTCCAAACTTTTTACCAATTCTGACACCACCCACCCCTTCCATGACACTCTCTACTTCTCTGCTGAGTTTGATAATTTGTTGCAATGGCCACACAGAACTCACAGACAATACTCACAATTATGGCATTTATCAGGGAAGAAACATGTTAAAATTATTCAGAATCAAAAACAACGCAGGATACAGTTCTTCAATCAGGACAGCTTTTTCCCAGCCAGGCCACAGGCATGTGGTCTCTTTGGTCCTCAGTTTTGCCCTGGCCTTTGCCCTGTCCGGGCAAGTGTTATAAAGTTCTTTTAGCCCTGCCAATAGGTGCACCTCATTCTGCCAGCAAGTCCCCTGCCCAAAGGCACTCAGACTTCTTGCTCAATGGGCTGGCAAGCCTACAGCTCTGTCTCATGCTGGTCTCTTGGTTCTGCTGCCTTTGCTTTCACAGTCTTTCTGCTGTGTCTCAGCTCAAGGATCTCAAGTCCAAGGATGCACTTCAGCCCCGGCTCTTCTCTCGTGATGGCAGCGAGATCCCCCTTTCTGCCTCTATGATGGCTCATTTTAAACCTAGCAGGATGGTAAAACTGACCAATCTTCCTATTAGGGTTACATACACCATATTTGCACAGTCCCGTCCCACGAGGGTGCCATATATCTTAATTTACATTATTACCAAGCTATCCAATCTCCATGCTGGGCCACATTTGCATAGTCTCCCCCAGTCATCCTGTGGGAATTATAAAGACCACGGCTAGAAGAGCCATACCAAGTAATTCCCTACAGCACAGGGGAACATCTAGATGCCTGTGAAATACATACACACATGTATAGATGGCACATACGCAGATACACACAGAATGCAATGAGGAATTTACTTCCAAGCACTCCAAAACATCTGAATGCATTTCTTCTGGTAGGCAAGGTATTGGTTAATGATATATACCTTCCCAGGGCATTTCTCAGACCTCCCACAAGTCCATCCAGCAGTCCCACACTGTTAAGAACAGTGAGTTAGGGTTATTTGAGTCATCTCTGACCCACAAACTGTGGTTCATAAGCTGGCTGTTCAGATTAGAAGATATTCTACTTGTCAAGCACACAGTTTGGTGCCTGGCACAAACTTCGTACGTAATAAATAAAGATAGTCTTGGTGGCATCACAGTACCTCTTATTCCCAGAGGGAGGGTGTGTTGGTTCTCTAGTGCTGCTCTAACAGAAGATACCACAAATGGGTGGCTTTAACAAACAGGGATTTATTGTCTTACAGTTCAGGAGGCTAGAAGTCTGAGTTCAAAGTGCCAGCTCTAGGGGCTGGGTGAAAGTCCCTTGACCTTGGGCTTCAGCTCTGCCTCCTGCTCCTGGCCCACTGGAGCTGGAGGCGTCTCTTCACTCATGTAGCTGATGGCTACTGAGGCTGACAAACCAAGGTCAACAAGTACAATGGCATAGTTCCAAGATTACCAAACAACATGGCAGGCCACTGATTCAAGTCCAGAGATAGTCCCAAGATGGGCAGGAAACATGGCAGGCTGCAGAATGAAGACTCATCTACATGCAGGGTCCATGCTGCCAAAAAGTTCCGAGACCTTTCTCAAAGCTGCCCTCTTATACACTGGAAGTATATGCAACCCTAAGGCAGCTACTCTGCTGTTCCAATAGACTCCACCATAGAGGTGATTATCAGTCTCATCATGGGGAATAACTACATCCTGCTGCCCAGCCTCTCAAAACCAGGCCCAGCCAAGTTGACATACAACTTATCTACCACAGAGGGATGCAGGCATAAAATGATCCCAATTACACTTCATGCGTCCACTCCATGGAGCCCAATCATCCTTTCACCATCTCAGTCCTGAGTTTGTCTGTCTCTGTATCTCTGTTTCTTTACCTCTGTCTGTCATTCTCTATGTGTGCCTTTTTTTGGTCTATTTTGAATTCACTGTATGAGTCCTTGCTGTTGTTGTTGTTTGTAATGTGTGTGACAGAGAGAGGGAGAGGAGGATAGGAAGAGCGAGCTAGTTCTTTGGTTCCTCCTTTTCCTTTTTCCTTAGTCACTTTCTCAGTCTCTATTTCTGCCTTACTGATTTTTTTGTTTGTTTTTTTCTTTCTGATTCTATCTCCCTCTCTCTGTTTCTTTGTATTTACTTTAAAACAAAACCATGTTTCCCTTGACTTTTATCTTTGACTCATTGAATTTCATCTCTTTTTAATTTCTATTTTGATCTCACTTCATCTCTCTTTTCTCTGTGTCTTTCTGTCTTGGTCTCTATCACAAATATGTGACATAACCTACCTCTCTCTGTGTTTTTGTCTCAGGTTCTCCTCAACAATTTTTTCTCTTTAACTTGCTTCCATCTCCACTCCTGCCTGGATGTGTGGATGGTGACACGGGCTGTTCTAAACCTATTTCTCCATCCCTTTCTGTCTAAATGGGAAGACCAAACTATCCCTCCTCCACCACCACCACATACACACCACCACAGGGTGGGTAAAAGACTGTGAATGTGTGTGCGTGTGCACGTGTGTGTGCATGCGCGTGCGCGTGCATGGGGTTAGGGGTTAGGGATTGGTAGTGTGGGGAAGGGTCAGTTTGAAGGAGGAAGTGAAGGCTATGAGAATTAAAGAGGAAGCAGCTTAAAGCTGAATCTCTAGCCCAAGAAAACACATCACAGCAACAGATTCAAGACCTAGAAGGTTGAGCTGTATAAGCCATTCATTTTTCCCAGAATTCCCACTGTCTCTCTTGGACATACGATGAATCAGTCCACCTAGTCAAGCCATATTACCAAAATCTGTAGGTTCCCTCAGGGAGTCAATTTCCAAGTCTGAGAAACCAGACACATGAGAAGGGCACCGGAATTTATTTAAGAATATGTTTAGGTACGAATTCCATTTCAAGTTAGTAAAGAAGATTTACCATTTTTTTGAAAAAAAAAAGGAAATGGGCTGAGAACTATTTACTTAGATTATTAAGAAGAGCAATGATTAGAAGTGATCTTCCCTTCCAGAGATTGGGGGTGGGGGGTGGGCTGTACATCTTAGACTTTGAAAACATACACACACACTCACTAGGAAGGGTCTGATAAAGAAACACAGGTAATCTTTATTATTATCATATAATATAATCAAAACCTTTGTTATTGTTGTTAGGTGTCATTGAGTCGTAGCGACTTATGCACAGCAGACGAAACACCGCCCGGTCCTGCACCATCCTCACAATCTGGCTGTACCTGAGCCTATCCTTGCAGCCACTGTGTCAATCCGTCTTGTTGAGGGCCTTCCCCTTCTTTGTTGACCTTCCACTTTACCAAGCATGACATCCTTCTCCAGGGACTGGTTGCTTCTGACAACATGACCAACGTAGGTGAGATGAAGTCTGGCCATTTTCACTTCCAAGGAGCATTCCAGCTACACTTCCTCCAGGACAGATTTGTTAGTCCTTTCAGCAGACCATGGTATTCTTACACCTTTAATATTATCTTGTGTGGTAGGCGAAACAACTTATTGATTTTGATTGATTTATTTCTCTGGATATTCTAAATCTTTGTCTCATTTCCTTTATTTAAAAAACAAATGAACAACAACAACAAAAATGAACAAAAAAATCCTAATTAGGGTCTGGCAAAGAGAAAGTAAGGATAGGTGGGTGAATGGATGGATGAATGGATGGAATGAATGAATGATGTGAGGCTACTTGGAATTGAAGGGTGTGGGTAGCTAGAGATGGATGTATGGATAACCCTACAAATGAGTCTACCTAACTAGGAGATGCAGGGGCATACGTATTGTGTACGGGTAATTCCTGTTTTCTAATAAGACTTTTTAAAATGGCATGGCCTATTTTGATACGTAGGGAAACTAAGGTCCAGAAAGGTTAAATGATTTGCCCCCTGAAAAAAAGATGGAGCTGAAATCTGAATGCAGATTGTCTGACTCCTAAACTTATGAGCCTAATAATGATGTTTACCTGCCTCCTGCACCCCACCAAGTGATGCTGAGCCTAGGGGTTGATCTGGGGAAGAGAAGCTGGGGGCTGGAAATATAAAGAGAGGGGATGGTCTCAGTGGATTTTCTTGGGAGAATTCAATCTACATTTATTCAGGTTGGAGATTATAGATTATATAACTACTCTGCAACAAAGCAAACTCTTACCTGATGGTATCAAATACCCAGAAAGCTAAAATCCCAAGTATTCAGACTTCTGCATAAGCTGATCTCCCAAAACCTATTTAGGTAGGATCTGGGGCCCTGGACACAGGTTCTTGGCCTGGCACCATGGAACTAGGAGGGGCTTTCACTATCTTTCTGGCACTCTCCTTGTCGTGCCTCATCATCCTCATTGCCTGGAAACGAGTCAGCAAGGGAGGGAAGCTGCCCCCAGGCCCCACACCGCTGCCCTTCCTGGGAAACCTGCTGCAAGTCCGCACTGATGCCACCTATCAGTCTTTCATGAAGGTGAGTCTGTTTACGTCCTATCAGGGTTCATCTCACAAAATCTCATTTACAAATGAGGAAATTAGGGCTTGAGGTAATGGGACTTGTCCAGGATCACAGGAGCCCAAGCTTCTATGCCTTTTTCTGTACCAAAACTCAAGGCCTACCTTCTATTCTTTCTTTTCTCATCGGTGTTGCCTGAAATCACCACCCCTATAATCCTTGACTGATATATACTTGGTACACCAACCTCTTTTGTCCTCCTTCATCCCCCAGCTCAAGGAGAAATATGGCCCTGTGTTCACTGTGTACATGGGCCCCAGGCCAGTAGTTGTTTTGTGTGGACATGAAGCAGTGAAGGAGGCCTTGGTAGACCAAGCAGATGATTTCAGCGGTCGTGGAGAACTGGCTTCCATAGATCGAAACTTCCAAGGTCATGGTAGGTAACAGCAACCATAACAACAGACATGTTTACAACATACTTCCTATGCATGAGGTTCATTGATAAGAACTCCACATGCATTATAGCACTGACTCCTTGAGATAACTATTAATTAATATGGTACTAACTTTTCAAATAAGGAAACGGAAGGTGAGAAATTCCAGGTAATGTCACATAGTGAGTAAGGAGTAAAACCAAGATTTGAACTCAGTTTTTTGACTCCTACGTGCTGGCTGTGTTATCTCTGTTCGAACTTTTAATGGAGCAGCTACACTTTTTTTGTACCCAGTCATAGCCCTCATAGCCCATCTTCCTTCATAGCTTTCTAAAACACATACACAACACATAGACTCCTGCATCCCCTATTTAGGTAAATTCACTTATGGGTTATCCATACATCCATCTTTATCTGCTCATATCCTTCCATTTTCAAGTAGAATAATTAATCCATTCCATCCATCCTTCCATCCATCCATCTCTGCCTATACTTTTACTTCCACCTACACACTTTTGCATCGATCCATACATTCACCCAAAGATCCATCCATTCATTATTCTTCCTATACAAACAACTAGACCTCTAACCATTACCTTCCACTTGTCTTTCCATCCACCCACCCTTCTATCCATTCATTCATTCATCATTAATCTTTCCAACTGTTTATCCACTCAATTCTCAAACCATTCATCCATTAATCCTTCACCTTCCTTGGCTCCTCCATCCATCCACCCATCCATACAGTCATAAACTCTTCCTTTTATCCACCAGTCTACCTACCCTTTCATTAACTTTCCAAACATCCATTCAAACATTCCTGCACATCTGGAAATTTCTAAATGTCTCTTTTTACTTTTTTAGTGGGGGAAGAAGGTGTTGGATGGAGGAGGGGAGAAATTTGGATGGGGGTGAGAGGAAGAAGCCATGGAGAGGGGAAGGAATGTGGCAGAAGAAGGATAGGGAAGAATTAGGTGGGATTTCTAAATATTTCTTTCTGAATGATAACTCCTTTTGTGTAGGTGTATTGGTGTCTAGGTCTGAGCTTGTGTGTAGATACTGGTGCATGTCTAGAGAGTACAAGAGATGTATGGAAAATAGTAGGTACCTGTCCATTTCGGGTGCTCCATATAACACTCTGTGCATCACTCCCTGGGCAATCTACTTCCGTAAAGATTTACTGCCTTGGAAACCCAACGGGAGTTGCTATGAGTCAGAATCGACTCAACAGCAGTGGGTTTGGTTTTGGTTCTTATCCTACAAGCAGCTCTCCTTGGTACCCTCTTTTTCTTTTTATACTGATTCCCTTTGACCTTACTTCAACCTTGGGCTATATTTGAAGGTCCTCTGGGGAAGCAATCTTAGACTCCCTGTCCAGACTAGAACATTAGGAAGGGGGTTCTGGAGAGCAGAATCTAGAGCTTTGATAATATGTCTCCTTCATGGTCCAGTAGAGTTGGAGACAAGAAGGGGAGGGGAGGCAACAGCCTGACACTCAGATCCCGGCAGGTGTAGCTCTGGCCAATGGAGACCGATGGAGGATCCTCCGCCGCTTCTCCCTGACCATCCTCCGGGACTTTGGGATGGGAAAGCGAAGCATTGAGGAGCGGATCCAGGAGGAGGCTGGCTACCTACTGGAGGAATTAAGGAAGACCAACGGTATGGGGGCTACACAGGGGAGTGCTACAAGGGGACTGGGTGGTTACAGAGAACTCAGTTTAGAAAAGATAGACCCTGGTGAGAGGAAGCTCTATAATGGGAGTGGACAAAAAAAAAAAAAAAAGATTGATTTAGGATTCACAGATTTTTTTCCATCCAGGTTCAATGTTAAAACTTAATATGAAAGACCTTTAATAATCCTCTTATCCAGAGGTTCTCAATCTAAATGTATTTTAGGAAGTCATGAGCCCCTAAATTGTATGCACACTTTGGGGATCCGTGAGCTTGTGTCTTTTTCTGGACACATAATTAAATTTCATTCTATTTTCAAAGCAGTCCAATTTCCATCTAAAAATAAGGTCAGTAACCACTGGGGTCTAGATAGAAAAGACACAGAAGCTGAGAAATAAAAAAATAAGTAAATAAGAGAGAGAGAAAAAAATCAGAGAGTCATCACCTGGACTCCATGGATGCTTAACAAGACCTATGTGAAGACCTGAATGGCCCAATATGCACAGAAATCATTTTCAAAATTGTATATATGTGAATATGTAAATTTCTCTATGGAAAATGTCCCAAAATCCACTGACATGACATCAGCATCCTATTTCACAGATGGGACCACTGAGGCCTATGGAAAGATATTGTCAATATCTGAAATATGGTAGAACTAGACCCAGAAAATCTGGCCATTCTTTTTTGTATATATCTGCTACTATTACTTTCCTAAATCTGTGAATATGTACGAATAAAAATAACAACACACTCCCTCTAGCATTTGTTAGCCCTTAATGCATCCTAGGCAACATGCCAACCATTTTTCATGTATCATTGTATTAAATCCTCATGAATTGATGAAGTGGTTATTCAACCAGTTTGCAACTGGGAAATCTAAACCCCAAACACAAAAATGAAGTGAAGTGACACATGCTATTAAGTCCTAAACCCAGGACTCCATGCAGGGTTGAGAGATTCCACACACCATGCTCCCAATAATCTCCTACAACTTAGACTGTTCTCGTCACCAGGTGCCCCCTTCGAGCCCACCTTCTTCCTGAGCCGCACTGTCTCCAACGTCATCAGTTCTGTCGTTTTTGGAAGCCGCTTCGACTATGAGGACAAGCAATTCCTGAAACTGCTGAAGCTGATCAATGAGAGTTTCATCGAGATGAGCACACCCTGGGCACAGGTGCCCATCAGCCACCTCTCTGCCCACCCTACCCCAAATCTCAATTACCTAAGCTATACCTGACGTAGGAGTTCTGGTAGCATAGTCCCTAAGGTAACTGACTACTAACCAGAAGGCTGGTGGTTCAAACCCACCAGCCACTCCTCGGAAGGAAGGCTGGGCAATCTAC